CCCTCTCTGGTACTGTGATCAATCAGCATGAGGAAAGAAAATGAAGGAACATTGATTGCCTGATCCTCCCACTCCTGTTCATGATGTGTATAAATGGCTGAGTTAGAGTGACAGGCTTCATACCTAATCCTTTCCCTTAATCACCATCATTTATAATAAAAGTATTCCACACTGATCTTCTGTTCAGAATAGGCTCTGCCATCCTTATTCATGGCAGCAATATTCCTTGCTCCAGTGCCTTCTCAGTGCATTACTCAAATTGCACAAAATAGATGGAAAGTAGAGGATTGCCAGCAGATACGTTCCTCTGCTCAAGGGAGGTCTTTGCTCTAGGCAAGCTGGCAAAGGAAATTGTAGCTATCCAGTCTACCGTCTACCTCCTACTTTTCCACTGTGAAGATACAGGAAGCAGCTTGGTGTAAAGGTATTCTTCTTTGGTTAATAGTTCTCGGAACATCAACTGAACTTCAGGGAAAGAACTCTGACAAGAAGGACTTCTCAGCTCTGAATGAAGCAAGAGTGCTAACAATTCCCAGACCCCATTTCATCTGGAGCCGGAAACTGCTCTGCACTATGCTTCTGATGATGACCAGTATATAATTATATAGTAAATTACACAATCAACACTTTCTGTCTCACACACATACAACTTTCCAGCAGGTAAACAGGTAGCCTACCAGAGAGAAAAGTTCGGCCTAGGATTCTGCTCTTGATTATGCTGGTAGTAGACACTAGTCCTCAGACAGTGCTTCTACAAATGTTTAGAACTAAAAATTCCATGCAAGAGCTGCTTGTAAACTAAAACTTGATGTAAGTAGGAAAGACAGAAGAGAGCCCAGCTTGTCAATGGTGGCTTTGTACCATAGCTCAGTGGTAAAGCAAAAAGCTTGGCTTGCAGGTGGTCACCAGTTCAATCCTTGCTACAGTTAAAAGAATTGCAGGACTGGGGAAGAAGACCTTCTCCTAGTCAGAGTTACTAGGCTAGATAGAGAAATCATCTAACCTGGTACAAGGTAGCACCCTATGTTTCTAACAATACGATTCATGTTGACTCTTTTGCTATTGCAGTTAATCTAACCCTTTGGAAGCCCACATCCTGGCACAGCAAAGGTTCTATTTGGGCCTAGGCTGGCAGTGTTATGGACCAAGTTCAGCTGGGAGTTGAACTACATGTTTAGCAACGGCTCTGCCTCATAATTTTGTTGAGTGCATAGCTCACATCTAAGCTAATAAGTATGCCATTTGGTAAGCATGCCTACTTGATTGATATGAAGGCTGTTTCTGGGATAGTCCCTATGGTTCTGATTTTACACAGTCAAGCTTTAATATATAATAGCTGTAGTTTTCACACAGTGAATATGATTGAATGAGTCAACCATAACACGTTCTGACAAATGAAGGATCAGGTGCATACTGCCCTTCCCTTGTAGGTTTTTTTTAAAAAATTATACATTTTCCAGGTTGTTGTTTTTTGTCATCCATTGCAAGTGAAATAATACACCCTTATTTGTATTTTATTATGAAATGAAGGCTGTAACAAGGTGTATTATTATTAATTATTATTATTATAGATATAAAATAAATGTTAGCTATCTGGAGCCACTTTCTCTTTCTGACACCCCTTTTTTTTTAGCTTTTATTATTCTACTTTTTTATTCTCATTCTGCCATTCCCTGGATTCGTTGGGGAAAGCCACAACTGTGAAAGTTGTATAAGAGTGCTTTAAATATATAGCATGGATGTGACCTTACATTTGGACTGGAAAGTTCTGAATTCAGATCCTACTTAGCCACAAAGCTCATTGTGCTTGTCTGTATCTCTGAGCCTAACCTACCTCTAAGGATTGTTGAGAGGAGAGGAGCCATAGAAAATAACCATGTAGCTTATTGGAGGAAGGCTTGCAATTTGAAATCATATATATGTATATATAATGAATTTAATACAAACTTCCTCTTGTCAATGCTGCAAAAACTTCCTCATAACAAATGAGTGTAAAAATATATATTCTTACTGAATTTTGTATGTGTTTATGTCAATAACCATTCTGTGTGAAAAGTGACCATAATAATAATAAAATTTCTTATTTTTTGTTTAAGAATGAGTTGGAAGGAAGATATCATACCAGAAGTAACCATAATCGTATTCAGACTATGCAATGCCTAATTATGCATACTACATTGGACATTAAAAAGCCACACACACAACATCTAGTCATGTTAAATTCAGTAAGGAGAGCTTGATGCAATTCTATACTGGCAGGAACCTACTCTATTCTTTCTGGTAAAAGCGGTCTGGTTTTATTGAAGCCTGAAATAAGCTAATAATAAGGATGCACAGTGATGCACAGTTGCATCTATTAACTATTTGAACAAGTAAAACTAAAAATGATTGTGTTTTAATGAGCTCATAAACTTAAAAATCTTTAAATTGTCATTGAAAACAAACCTTTGAAAAAATCATGAATGGAGCTGACTTGAGGGAGTCTAGTAGTCAATATAGCTTTGAAATATGAAGACATAGTGACCTTAAGCATGTATAGAAGTATACATTATAAACAAAAAAGGGCTGAGGTTACTATTTGGTCTTATTTCAGTACCAGCTAGTTCACTTTAAGAGAGATCTCTTAGGGCATCTATTGGTAAATGTTAGTATTGCATGGGACAGGAAAATGCATGTAGAATGAATCAAGCTCTTGATGTTAGGTCCTATTTCATGCTTTTATAAGCTAATAATATATTCTGCCTTTCATATTAACGTTCTTATATCAGAATACCAATTTTGGATTTTACTCCAGAGGGTCAGTTTTTCCACCTTATTTACACTTCTTTGTTTTATAATAAAGTATAACAACAGATTTAGCATTGCTTCTTCTTAATAATAATTCAGCTCACTCACTCCATCACAATTCTTTCCTCTCATTTGCATATGTTCTAGCCGCCTTTAAAACTAGCTCAACCTCTCATTAGATGTGGTACTCTCCAATCTATGATTCATAAGATAGGGCTCCCTCTTAGTTTTATTTTCACTCGAAAATTAAAATTGATACCTCATACTGTGTCATACTATCTATCCATCACTTTCATTTCTTGAAAAGAAACTTGCCTGGGTTGCATCTTAACTACGAGACACCTGATTTTTATTGAGATACTTTCACTTTCCTTCTTTTTCTTATTGTGCCTCATCCTAATTCTTTCCTTTTTAAAGTATGCAATAACCAGTGCTTTGTTCCCCTCTGACGGTACTCAAAGGTACGCAGTACCAGCACCTTTCTTCCCCAAAACAACAAAAAATCAACCACAAATCTCAGCTAAGGAGCACAAAAGGGATAAAAGGAGCCATGAGGTTCAGTCACGCACAAACTCAGAAGCTTCCCATTGCTAATTGTGCACTCTTTCACTCACACCTTCTCTTCCTTCTGGAACAATAACTGATTCAAGAGTTTGGAAGCTCACTGCAACATGAAAACTGCAATAGGCAGCACTGAGGGAGATGAGTGGTGCTTGGGCTCACCGTTCGTGCTGTCCCACTTTCGTGCCCGGCCACCAGCACCAAGCAAAAGGTTGGCTTGAGGGCAGGCAGCTGGTAGAGCCCGCGGCTACCAAGTTGGTGGACTCCCATCACACCATGAAGGGGGAGACTTGGGCGCCCCTTCACATGTTGTGGGCTGCTGGGAGGAAGAGGAGCAGGGCACTACTGCTGCCACCAGTGCTAGGTGGGCATGCTCTCTCTCTGCTCGCCTGGTCCATTCCAGGCCCACCAGCTGCTGTCTCTGGCCACCTGTTTGACGTCTCCTCCTGTGTGCAGCTAAGCAGCACCTTGCCTCACTCATGCAACAGGGGACGAGCCAGGCTGTCTCCCTGCTAAGGTCGTGCAGGGCACTGCTGTTCACAATCTGCTCTCCAAGCCTCCCCCTGCCTGTTAAGGGGTCAGGTGCATGTCCAGTCACACTAGGTATCTGCCAGCTCTTCTTTTCTTGGAGAAATGGTCATTTTTTAGAAAACCCCACAATCCTTATTTTATTTTAGTTTATTCTTTGGTAGATTTCCAAAAAGAAAACCCCTGTCCTGAACATACTGTCTGTTTTTAGAGAGCCGAACAGTGTTTAAAATGTTTATCATTGGGAATCTTTGTATAAAATGTCCTTGATTTCATTGTAATCTGCATTGTCATCATGTTTGTTGCAGGATTTAAGGACACCATTTTTATTTTTATTTCACCGTAGGATAATATCTGCCCCATTATGTTGCAAGGGGAGAACTGGAAGCATCATACCATAGATTGGAAACATGGTTCCTTGCCTTCTTTCTCTATACTGGAAGTTACTCACCCAGCATGAGTGATGGGATAAAGAATGATGAACTCAGAGGTGAGCCTAATATTTCATTCAGCACAACACTTCATCTCCGCGGTATAGTCCCATGGGAAAGGTAAAGGACACCTAGCAAACAAACATGTGGCCCAAAGCAATTATATGCATATAAGAATTGGAGTAGTAGAGCAGTTTCTATGGGAGTAACCTGTTTGACCTGATGAATCCCTTGTTTGTCATCCTGGCTAAGCTCTAGCATCAAGCTACAGCCAAGGACAAACAACCACAGCCTCTTTAGAATGATTGTCTTTTTGACTGGCATCTACATCGTTTAATAGATTTGACAGCAATGTCTACTTCGCTCTGCTGACATATCGGGTTTTTGTAACTTGGATTATTCAGTTCCTATGAGCATGTAGATTTTTGAACAGGGTGAAAACAAAGCATTGGTAGCTTGAAGTCTCAATGATCCATTTATTTCATAACATCAGCTAGGGGGCAGCATTATAAACTGGGGTCATCAGTGTAGTGTCTGTCGATGCAGTAGTACTGTTGAGGTCATACTCTGGTGCCCACCAAGCCTCTGGACCCTTCCTCTTTGCTCCCTTCACCATTAGGTAGTAAAGGTAGTTGCCTTCCACCCCCTCCTTTGAAAAGTACATAGAGCTGAAGGAGGAAGTTGGAAGGGTGATGCTCTTTGCCACTTCCTCTTCACCTCTATGTGCTTTTCAAAACTCTGATCAACACCCAAGCTGCTAACCTGAGACTTGAAAAGCACAAAAAAGTGAAAGAGGAAGTGGGACGCATGCTGTTCTTCACACTTTCTCTTTTAGCACTATACACACTTTTACCTAATGCATGTATTTCTGTAAACATTTGTTGCTTGGAGAAGTGGATAATTGCAAAATGTGTATAAGTGTGAATTCTGAATGAGGGCTGTGCTTCAGATCTCATGTTGCTTCAGAGAGGGAAGATTTGATAGATGCTCCTTTAAATGTGAATCAAATCACATTTCTCCACACCATCCCTACACCGCAAACAGATCCAACATTGGCATCAACTACAGTCATACCTCATGTTATGTCCGCTTCATGTTACGTTATTTCAGGTTACGTCCTGCGGCGACCTGGAAGTACCGGAAAGGGTTACTTCTGGGTTTCGCTGCTCGCGTATGTGCAGACACACAAAATGATGTGACGCGCATGCGCAGAAGCGGCAAATCACAACCCGCGCAGGTGCAGACACGCCGCTGCGGGTTGCACTTTTTTAATGTTGCGAACAGGCCTCTGGAACAGATCCCGTTCGCAAGCAGAGGTACCACTGTAACAAGATTCAGCTAGCCTTCTAGATGGAGTAACCTGCAAGTTGGAAAAGCACCATTAATCTCAGAACTCAGAATACTCTCTCTCTCTCTCTCTCTCTCTCTCTCTCACACACACACACACACACACACACACACACAGCGAGAGAGAGAGAGAGAGAGAGAGAGAGATGAACCATAGAAGATTACTAAAATTGCTTGTGAATTTGACTTCACCTCTGCAACTGACCAAAGGTCTGTGGGGTTCCTTATAGGTGGTTTTCACCCAGCTATGTAGCTGAATGCTGCAGAACACCAGTACCAAAGGGGTGCTGTGGGGGTTTTAAACAGTACAACCCCTCTAACTAAATAAGAAGACTGAATATTATTATGAGTTTGGTGGGGGAGGAAGTAAGCTGTATGTAAGACCTTTTTAACTCCTCGATCCAGCAAGTATTAAAATGTTGAGGTGACAGCCTGGGTGATGGGCCATTAAGGGAAGCAAAGGAAAGGGGATCTGTGTGAGATGGCAATTGGGTGGGGCCCCCTGAGCAGAGTTTGAGTGGTGATGAGTGTGTCTCGGTGCAGTGCTCGTGGAAATGCTCTGCAGCGGAAGGGAGAGAAAAATGAAGGGTTGAGGAGGGGCAGTGAGGGAAGCAGTGAGAAACATCCCTATCTTCATCTGAAGAATGTTGGAGGGTATGCGTTTACAAAAATACTACACACGCGCACACATACGCACCAGTGTTGGTGTTAGGCAGACAAGAAAGTCCAACTACATTGACAGAAGTTTGATACATTCCCAGGAGTAGCTTGGCAACAGTTTATTTCCCCAGATTCATGTACAGAAGACCTTAGGTGCTTGAAGAAACGGTTGAGGAACTATTGTTTGTAGATGATTGGGCCTTAGTAGGTAATTCTCAAGGGAATATACAACAATGATGGATCATTTTTCAGCAGCATGTACACTTTTCTTTTGAGCTAATCATTAGCCTGAAAAAGAGAGGTTTTATATCAAACAACCGAGGTTAAGATTTATGCTCCACCAGAAATTACTGTTGGAGACCAGCTGGGGGATATATTCACATACTTGGAAAGTACCTTGTCTCATGAATCAAATATTGATGATGAAATCACAAATCAAATGGTAAGAGTAGTGTAGCATTGGACAGACTTTATGAGTAGCTTTGGGAGAAGACAGGTGTAAGCCATGGTATTGACTCTCCTTTATGCTTGTGAAACCTGGACAACACATAGCTAGCATATTAAGAAATTGAACCATTTTCATCTAAGCAGTTTGAGGAAAATTAATGAAAATGACACTGGAGCCCAGAATTCCCAGCACTGACATTTTGTCTGAGGCCAAGTTGGAAAGTGATAGAACCTAGATCAGAGATAGCTTAGTTCTGATAGGGCAATCTTAATTTTTATTTGTGATTATGGTGTCTCCAAATAAATTCTCTTGAGAGAATTGATAATGAGCAGTGTATCTAACTGGAGTCATATACTATTGATCCCCTGAAGACTGCACTGGCTGCCAATACACTACCAGGCCCAATGCAAGGTTTTGATACTAGCATATAAAGGGATGCGGGTCATGCTGTGGTCTAAACCACTGAGCCTCTTGGGCTTGCCGATCAGAAGGTCAGTGGTTCGAATCCCCACAATGGGGTGAGCTCCCATTGTTCTGTGCCAGCTCCTGCCAACCTAGCAGTTTGAAAGCACACCAGTGCAAGTAGATAGGTCCTGCTGTCAGAAGGTAAACAGCATTTCCGTGCGCTCTGGTTTCCATCACGGTGTTCTGTTGTGTCAGAAGTGGTTTAGTCATACTGGCCACATGACCCAGAAACCTGTCTGTGGACAAACACTGGCTGTCTTGGCCTGAAAGCGACATGAGCGCTGCAACTCCATAGTCGCCTTTGCCTGAACTTAACCGTCCAGGGGTCCTTTACCTTTACCTTTATAAAGGCCTAAATGATTTGGGGCTCAAATACTTAGAGAAGCACGTCTTCAAGTTCCTTCTGGCTTGGGCTTAGAGAGCTGTTGGAAAGACTGCGTCCAGTCCCATGAACAGCAGAAACTTATTGTGCAAAAACAGTTCCTTTTCAGTGGTGGTGCTCCACCTGTGCAATCCCTTCCCCTAGGAGATTCAAGTCTCACCTCGAATTTCTGGTGGAGCATGAGACTCGTAATCTCAGGGTCATGGGTTTTTGAGCCCCACCTTGGGCAAATGATTCCTGCATTGCATGGAGATGGACTAGATTTCCCTTGTGAACCCTTCCAACTCTATGATTCTATAAGTCTTTTCAATTATGTTTGGGGCAGGGCTTGCATGTGTTCCCCTGCTTGCACAACCACAGGGATTAGACCACAAAGAACCACTACAGGACTCTGCACAAAGAGATTGGACTATCCAGTAACATATTCTGCTGCAAGGACTGTCACCCAAAATGTACAAGGCAAAAACAATGTGCTCTTTTTATCCCTAAGGAAGAGGAATGAGTTACAAGTTGCAACCAGTCCACTTCCCATCTCCAATAATAAAGTGTGAATTTTAAACTCAAAGCCAATATTGTTTTTCCCCCCTGTTCTTCTAGAAGAAAGAGCTCTAGGCTTTCTCTTAATTAGCATGAAGATAGAAGAGTGATTTCTTCCGAAGCAGATATCAAAAGAATCAATTAGTATGCCACAACAAGGGACAATTAGAACTCAGGTGAAAGTGTCAAGTCCTTTGTGAAAATGCATGACAAACTATGGGTTACAAGAATATTTAGATTTTTTTTTTAGGCAATTCCTTCAATGTTATGGTAATTTGCTAAAGGCGTCTTCCTATACAAAAATTATTGTAATAAGGGGCAATTCAATTTATTTAAGTTCATCTTAAAGTGGCTGGGGCAACCCAGCCAGATGGGTGAGGTTCAAATAATAAAATTAATTATCATCATAATCATCTTGTATGCATTGTGGGAGCAGGGGAAAATTAGAGTGGTGGAAGCTCATCCTCCCTACTCTACCTGCCCAATATCCATATTGGTTGTAACATATACATTGTGCACCATATGCTCAGAAGCCACTGGGTACAGCAACCAAAAATTGAACATCGAGTGTATGGCTAGGGCCAGTTCTGCAACCATGATTGTGGGCCCCTGCCCAAATGATCACAAAGCAAACTTCTTAACTGACATAGGCTCTGGGTCCCAAGAGCTGAGTCACTTTGGGGCCCCTCAATTGTTTTTCAGGGGGTTGGGGGCCCCATTGTTAAGGCTGAACATGGAGTTGGGCAAGGAGTGACGTCAGGACATCACGTTGGGGCCCCTCAATGCTCTTCGGAAGATGGTGCCTCTGTTCACACAGCTTTCATGTAGAGACAAACTACAGAAAGATCTTTATCAGCAATGTTTCTTTGCTTAAAAAAATTATACCATGGTCGGAAACTCTCAAGCCTAGGGATCAAATGTGCCCCTCTGGTCTTTCAATCTGCCCCTTGGGTCTCTCCTCATTCACATCCTCCCTCCCCAGGCCACACCGCTAAGGAGTCTGGATCTGCACCCTCCTTGGCTGGAATGGGTCCTTGAACTCCGATAAAGCTTCTTGCTTGTCTGAATGGAGGATAAGAGGGGTGTGTGTGAGTATGTGGAGAAAGCAGTTTACTGGACAAAGCAGACTTTCATTTCTCTTCCCACTTTTGTGTATAGACCCCCCACCAGAGGAATGAGGTCCCCAGGGGGTTCCTTGGCTTAGATTTATACCTTGCCCTTTGATTGAAAGATCCTAAAGTTGGCTTCAACAGAGCACTGTAATCATGCTGTGGCTTAAGAAATCCCAAACAGATTTATTTCAAAATCACTGCTTTGAGCTCTGGACACCAAGGGAATTTAAGGAGCGCCTTCCGAGTATGATCTGTTAAGGGATTTGCTTCCCTTTCCTGACTTTTCTAAAGACCTTTTGTACATGAGAAATCCTTGGGTTTTTCTGGAGTCTCACTTGCATGGATGGTGCCATTCAGGCTATAAACAGACTCACCATTGCATAATATTTGCTCTTAGTATATAGGATTTTCTCCGTATTAATAGACCCTAAAGAAATACTGCTTTTTCAGCCTCACCATAAAAACTGCCCAATTATGAGCAGGTTTAAGTAGATTGCAACATTTCTTGATGACAACATGCTGGAACTAGATTTAAGATAAGCTTATGTGAGTGTTGAACTGAATGCACCCTGCAGTAAATAAATTGAAGCACTCACTCAGAAAACTAGTCAGAGCAGGAATTAAGAGGCACTGACAGCATGGAAGATTAGCCTTGAAATAAGATTTGAAATGATGTTAATATAGCTCACTTATTATGTTTACGGCCAAACATCAAAGCAATATTAAAACCAGTAAATAGGACTGCATCGGGAGCGAAGACAATGGTTTGGCAAAGAAATCATGAGGTAAGTCTCAGCTGGAGAATTGCGTAGTAAATAATGGTGCGGAAACAGTGTATCAGAAGAAGAAGAAAAACAGAAGCAGAGGAAATGGTTTGCCACTTATATGGGCCTCATTTATTGAGCACAGTGGTTTTCAAATCGTCTTTCAGAAAGCCTGGATTTCTTTGAAAGTTTATCAGGGGCTCTTCAATGAGGGGACAGGAATCTCAGAATAAGCTTGCCTACCAACAATCTTTCCCTGCCATGCACAGAAACAAGAAAGTGTATGTACATAAGGTTGCACTGGTGTTATTCAGGGTGGTGAGGGAGTATTATGCACAGAAGAGGCAAAGTGCATTTGGGTATGTGCACTTCGTCCCACATGAGGCATCATGGCATATTTCCACCAACGCTAAACATATTTCAACGATGCTCATTTCCAACTGAGGATGCTTAGCATTGCTGTCTGACTTTGATGTCTGGTTTATGGTCTTGTCCCTGCAAAGAGTGCATTTCCTTCAAGTAACCATTGAGGTCCAACAATGGAAGGAGGGAGGGAATAAGCTTGTTTGGGAAGGTGATTGCCCTTTCTCGCCCCTCCCTGGTGAGAAATTAAGAAGGTGAAGCTTATGGCTTCATTTCCATGCCAGAAGATCTCCAACTGGCTCAATTTATTTTATGTAAATAAACTAGCTGTCACATAATACTTATTCTGCCTTCATCAGATATCAATCTGTTAGTGTGACAGCACCCACGCTTGGGAACCCCCTGCCTATGGACGTTAGGCAGATTCCCCCACTGTGCTCTTT